AAGCTGGAGGAACCCGCTCATGGGCTTGCATTCAGCTTCATGTTCAGTTGCCTTTCTTTTTCCTCCCAGGAGTAGCTCTACTCACAGTTGGCTGGGTCCTCCCACCATTGGTCGTCAGTCCAGAAACTGGTCCACAGATTTGCCTACAGGCCTGTCTTACGAAGGCACTCTGTCAACGGTGGTTCCCTTTTCCTATATGATCCTAGTTTGTTTCAAGAGGGAATAAAAAAATGAAAAGCATAATATTGCAAATGGCCCTGATGGGAATAGGAAAACATTCAGGAAATACACTGAAATCAAGAATGAGTTTCACCACCTCAAGTTCCATCTGACTTCTCAACTTCCCACTGCCACCTAATCCCTAAACTCAGATTAGGAGTGGGAGATGCAGTTTCATTGCAGAGTGCAGGTCTGCTTCTGTCATCTTGGGGATTTTGGTTGCTACCCTGTTATTTGGGGATAATGGTTCCCAAGGCCTACACACAAGTCTAGTTCTACAGAGTTCTGGGCCCAACTCCCAGGAGCAGATAGGTGGCCTTGTAAGAACCTACATATGTTATAATTAATCTAGCTTAATTATAGTTGATATAATTAAAGAAGACAGGAAGGGACAATGGTTAAAATATGCTGGATGACAGTCAGTAACTAAGAACATTTTGATGGGCATGTGGCAATGGGAGGGATATACCAGAGTGAGAACTGATGGAGACTCGTCGTCTGTGGATGGCACCTGCCAAGTATGGGCACTGGATTTAGGTAGTGAGGACATTGGTGGTTAAGACCTGTCTTAGCACCTGAGAGATTTATGATTTAGTGGCACATGATGAATACATGCAGTGTCATTGTCATGCTAGAGTCATGCTAGATGCTCATATAGTCCCAAGAAAGGAGGATTGGACTCTTACCTAGTGGGAAGTTTTCCTAAGTCTTAGAATTGAGTAGCACTTTCCCTGGCTTGGGATAACAGGATGTAAAACAGGTGCCGAAGAACATTCTAGGCCAGAGGAACAGTGTAGAAGTCTCTATGGAAGCATAGATAAGACAGGCACTTGGGATGCTGTCAGCAGGTAGTCAGGCTGGAATATGGGGAAAAGCAGGTGTAAAAGAATGGAGTGGGGACCCATGGGTAGTAGAATAGCACACAAGATAAGAATGTAGAGAGATGGACCTGGGCCACTGGTTATTTTTAGAAAAAGGAATGTAGGAAAGAAGATGTGTTTAAAGAACCATCTATTCAAACTGTATTCGCAGTCAGATTTTATTTTGTTTGAGGCTAAGGTGACTGGGGACACCAATGTCAGAAGATCATTTTCCGGAAGGGAGATCAGAGCCTTGCTCCTTAAGCCGGTCAGACTGATCTGGTATGATGCATTCTCTTATATGTATGCACAGGCTCTAGGTATAATGGTCCTATTCCTTGAAAAAAGAGTGACTGAGGGCCAGGTACATAGCTCAGCATGCAGGAAGCCCTAGGTTTAATCTCCAGCACTGCCTAAACTATACATGGCAGTGCATGCACTTGGGAGGCAGAGGCAGGAAGATCAGAAGTAAAAGGTTATCCTTGGCTACATAGCGAGTCTGACGCCAGCCTGGGATATATGAGGCCATCGAAGGGGGAGGAATCCAGAACATATCCAGAGGAGGGTAAGTCCGTGATAGCTGTTGCAGCTGGGTTGTTTCTAAATAGTTCATTAGTTACCTACTGTAGAGTGACATTAGCTAAAACAAGCATTATGCCATCATTTGTGAGGATCTGGACTGGGGCCTCTGAGCTGGTCTTTCACAGAGTAGCAGTGAAGACATAGCTAGGTCTGTACACACCTCCATGGGCTTATGATGTTCTGCTGGGAGTCATAGTTCCTTGCTATGTGACCCTTTCTGTACACTGTTCAGACCCGACAGCTGGCTTTCTTAAGAGACCTCAGTGTGTTTTATCATCCTGCCTCTGACTCACTCTGCTCCTTTATTCTTTCCATTAGAAGTGTGTCACTAAGTCCAAGCCACACAGGGGAGGGGAATCAAGCTCTGTGACTTGAAGGAGTAGTATCAAAGAATCTGAGGACCTATTTTTAAAACCGCCATAAGATGTACTAGAGAGGACATGACAACTGTCTTCAAATATTTGGGAAGCTTTGTCAGAAGCTAAAGGCAGCTGGGTTTGGCTCCCCGTAAAGAGATACATGGAGATGTATGTGCAGGGGTGGAGCAGGTGCCTAGGAAGTGCCGATTCCTGTGTTACTAGAGGCAGGTACTGGGCAGGGGTTCAATGACCATTTAAGGAAGAGCTTCTAACCTTGCCTAGGGATAGAATTGGGTCAGGAGGGAATACTAACGCCCTTGCTATTTAAGTCTTATTGGAGCACAGCCACGATTTCTCATATGTAACTGTTTGATGCCACAGAGCTGAGCTGTGCAGCAGTAACCATATGGTATTTGGCTGTTTTGGGGAAGTGTTTACTGGATGGCTTTGGAGGTCCCCACCCCCTTACCCTTGAGAGGTAGTGCAGTGTGGTACTATGATGTGATATTTTTAAATTTTACTTTTCAGGGCTGGGAAGATGACTTAATAATAAGAGTGCTTGTTAGACAAGCATGAAGGCTTGGGTTTGAATCTTCAGAACTCATGCAAAAAAAAATCACAGCAGGGTCTGGAGAGATGTCTCAGCTTTAGGATTAAGTTCACAGCCCCTGCATGGTCCTCACAACCATCTGTAACTCCAGTTCCATGGGACCTGATATCCTCTTCTGACTGTCACAGGCACTGGGCAGTGGTACACATACATACGGTCAGGAAGAGCAGTCACACAGAAAGAAAATGTGGAAAAAAGAAGCTAGGGATGGCTGTGCATGCCTGTGCATTCACTGAAGGAGCCCGATGGCCACCCAGCCTAGCTGAAACAGAGAGCTTCCAGGTCAGTGAGAGACCTGCTTCAGTGGTAAGGTGATAGTAGAGGATACCCAGTGTCTTCCTGTGGCCTCCTTATGTATCCACATGCTCATGTGCACGCAACACACACACACCAC